TCTCCGAAGAGCGCGGCTTCTCTATCACTTCATGTACGGGTCGCCAGTGTGTCGTCTGCGCTGCAGTGTGTGGGCGCGTCGCGGAGGTATACGGAGTACGGAGGTCTTGCGGAGCTTCCTCGTAAGCCGCCCTGGTAATAGTAGGTCACACAGCTTGGCCGGCGTTTCGGAGTTGAGTTTGTACGGGTTGCGCGCAATGTGTCGTGATCGCGTGTATATCGTGGAAAAGCGAACGTCAACCTTTCACCGGCGCTGGCAATGGTCGCGGATTCGTTTGCAAGGTTGCGCTGCTTGCCTGTCGTCGAAAGATGGAGGCACGGACCCAAGTGCTGAGGCAGTGCCTACCCCGATCCTGGACAACCTGCTGCAACCGCGCCCCTGGGGTCTCGATATATCGACGAATAATATCGAAGTTTCTTGGCCGTGTGTCTCAAATTGCACCACGCTGCACGCACGCGCGAATGCTGCAAACTACCCTACTTGCAGCGACATTACGCGGCGCCACGTTGTGGGGAGAGATTCGGTGGAGACCCTGACGTTGCGCCAAGTCTGCATGCTGATACTCTCAAGAACGTTCTTTATTCCTTTTCCCAGGGCCTTGTTCTAGAATACACAATTCATCCATCAACCTGTTCGCCATGCTATGCGCAACACTGTTAACCTCCTGCTAATACCAAAATGCCATTCGGCTGTCCGGACTGCGCCAAGTACCGATACGGCTTGTAAGGCGGACACACTACAATTTCTCTCAGCCCGGTTCGTGCTGCGGCATGTTGAACTCATCGAAGATGATCAGATCTAACCGACAGAACGCATCTAGAATTTTGCTCATATGTCAAAGTGCCGAATTCATCAAACTGTGCATCTACTGTGAATCCGAGAGCGTACAATTTGTGGGTGTATTATTATGCTTCTTCCAACGGTTTGATGTTAGCTTCAACGGTTGAGACTATCTATTCGGATTATTGATAGAGTGAGGCTGTGGCTCGTAAACTCGCACTGAAGGCGCAGCCGATGCGCCCAAAATAGCACTATGCATTCGTGGCCTGTAAATCGTTGCAAATCCGCCCAACGGCAGTGTAACTTCTTGAACATGATACCCGCGTATAGTGACCGCGGTTTGGAGACTACTTAGTAAGTAGTTTCTGTCAAAATGTCTCACTGTCGCATGAACCTTAAGTCCGAAAAGTAAATGTTTTGCAAACACATTCGAGGTAAGGTGATTAATACAGCCATGGCCAATAGCCAGCAGGTTACGGTGGTGTTTTACCGAGCATGCAGATGGTTGGTGTTCCACTAAAGAAATTTTCCAAGCGTCCCGCGGACATCCTCCCCGCCCCGCCCATCAAACTCCCAATTATGGCAAACTTCATCCTGGAAAGTTGTACAACCATACTCTTGAGCTAGAGAACGCGTCAATTGGTATATAATAGCTGTTTGAAATTTGCTTTCCATCGAACAACATTACTAGCCCGGCTAGCTCAATCGGTAGAGCGTGAGACTCTTAGTCTTTCACGGTCTAACAGACACGATTACTCAGTACATCTCAAGGTTGTGGGTTCGACCCCCACGTCGGGCTTGTACGTTCTAGTCTTTTTGTTTCGGTTCATTTGGTCGCTTCAGCTTTTTTTTTTGGTGTTGAGGGTGTTGGTGGATGGCATTTCCACCACGTCAGCCTTTTTACCCCACCACCACACTCTACAAAACCATGTTTGCACATCAGAGCTGTGGCGAATCTGCTCTAGGATATCCTTGTATTTTTGAAATTTTTGATTTAGTCTGTTGTTGATCGCTCGCTCCAATTCGACGTAGGCCGCAATGTTCACGTATTCTACAAACCATAGGAACACGACCCCGTTAATCGAAATACACAGGAAATGCCAGTCTTGACATATGCGTACATTCTTGCTTGTTCATTATATATATTCACAACATAGTTTCTTGAGACTAATAGTCTTGCAGTGTTCCAATTTTCTTAGGCGTCACCGATAACCACTACAGTGAATTGTCTACTCAAGCCGACGCCTGAGCGCGACCGAGTCTGTTTTCCTTCTTCTGTCACATGACAAGCGTGATGAACTTGCGATAGTCTTAGTCTGAAATCCACACTGCCTTCTACTCTCGGTTGTTCTCCCACCTAGGCGCCTACCACTCACCACAGCAATTATTCTCAACCAAGTAAACTGTCATGTCGGCGGCCAACAACATATGTCTTCATGGACGCGAAGCAAACATTGTTCACGGCGTTATTCATCACTATCTCCTTGCTCGTCATTGTCTCCTCGACGATGCCCATCACGCCATCGGACTAGACTACACCACTGCGCCTAATCTAGGTTTACTCTCTCGGCTTCCGGTCGAGTTGCAACAGCAAATTGTCTTGCACATGGATGTTGCTACTGTATTAACGTGGAGAAGGGTCAACAGAATGGCAATGGACTTGGTATCTCAAATGTTTGAGTGGAAAGAGGTGAGTAAGAGATGCTCAGGGTATCAGCTTTCGGTCTAACGCTGTAATCCTAGATCATCGCACTCGCTCCAAGCACCCTGAGAATGGCCATTGGAATCCGCTCACAGGCCACGTTCGGTCTCGCTGACCTTCATACCGCCCTCCACCGCCGGATCTGTGATACCCAGGGCTGTGACACCGATACCGCACAGTATATCAATATGAAGACTCTCACACGTCTCTGCCAGAACTGCTTCGCGGATCACGCATGGTATACAAAACACGTTGTTTCACTCGCATTGATCTATAGCCGCTACGCGGAAGAGAACAGTAAACCTAGGGAGGAAATTGCTGGGTTGCTTAAAGTACCTGTTACTGAGCAGATGGCCTTCGTTTATATGGGCCCGCTGTAGAAGTGAATAGGATGTTGCAGTGAAGGACGGTCAAGGTATCGATGGCGGAGATGCGGGCAAAAGCTGAGCTGGTGGGTTGGCGCGGAACGAAGACGCGTTACTAGGGAACAACTAAAGCTGGGTCGCCCTTTGCTGTATGCACGCTATCAACTGTCAACAAAGAAGTTGTATCGAAGATGATGTATACTTAAACCTAAAGTGTGTTCTGTAGAACGTCCAACGCAAAAAGATCTTGTCGTCTCCTAGTCCCCAGGTAGCAACTCGCACATCGCATGTCGAGGTGAAGTAGACTTCTGCGTCACCACATCTACAGTAAAAAGAAGCTTTCCTAAACAAGTTTGCAAACAGTCCCTACGTCAGCGCAAAAGAGCTGCAAAAAGAAAGTTAATGAATTGGACATGGCGAAACTCGAATCCGCGTCTCCCTGCATGTCTGCGCACTTTTAAGCTACGTACAACCGCGTACGGGCGCCTTGCCATACTCGCTTTTTCAGACCACATGCCCTTGAAAATGTTTTTGATGACTAATTTTAGGATTGAATGAGATATAACGATAGTGAAAGAAGAGAAGATTGAGTGGGTGGAGTGGTGACGGGTCGGCTTCACCTGGGTATCTAGTAACGCTCGTCGGTATCGATGGTCTCACTGCTTGCTTCTACTGTTTTCTCGACGCGAGTATCTAGGTATGCCTTTAGATCAAGTAACGTGTCGGACATTTCCTGGGTTGTAAAAGTGGTTTGTAAGAATGGTATTGCTTGTGATACGGTATGAACTTCGTGAATACCTAGGTATGAGAGTTCTGGTTGTCTCCGTCATGCTAAGTCTCTTCGCTTTGCTCCTTGCCTTTTTGAGGGATTTTGGAAGCCTCTCCGACTGGAACTGTGACCTTGTCTGCTGGAATATGTGGAAGGCTCCTTCATCGCGGGGTTTTGTGCGTGGAATTTGTTTTCGTCTTGCTGTATAAGCTGGAATGGCTGCCGTTTGTACGCGCATATTGAAACTCGTATAGTGAAGTCGCGTTTTGTCTAGGGTTGGAACGGGGGTGTTGAAGATGATGCATGCTAAATCTATCGCCCTTGTAAGTTGGTGCCTTGATAGCAGGTAGGAATAAACTTACCGGTAAATCAACGTCTCTAGATCTCCCTTTCTGACTGCAACTTCTGAACAGTAGCCTCCAATGCCTTGAATTTACTCTCCAACGTCCCATACTCATCCTCCAAGTCCTCATACTTCTTCTCCAACCTACGGACTTTCTTCTGTAGACCCTTGTCCCCCGTGGTCTCCTTTTTCAACTTCTCGTGACTTCTCGCTAGCGCGTCAAAGTCTGCTTCAACCACACGGATTCTGTCCTCTAAATCTTGGCACTTCCTTTCCACATTGGTCGACATGGTCGCGCTGCTCAAGTGTCTGCGTAGGTCGTTGGCGTTGAGGCAGGAGGCGTGGAAAAGTATACTGATGGAGGGAAATCAATAAAAGTACTGAGACAGTCTGAGTGAGTCGCGAGGTATCGAAGCATTATATATGTGGCAGTGCGTTGAGAACCATTAGCGGGGAACGTACCATGAAACCATCCCCAACAGACCCCTCAACAACAACCAATCCAGTGTCGCGCATCTCGAAAGGGTCACTCCGATTACGTGTTGACTTCAGGAACAAGCTTTCTTCCAACGGGTTCTAGATCATTCTCATTACAGTGATGATGCGCAGTGATGAAACGACCCATCCTTGACGAAGACCAGGCCTGGATAGCTGTAGTTCCAAGACATCCTTGTACAGTCATTCTATTCAAAGGCAAATCTGAAACTCTGAAGCCTATATTGACTTTAGGCTATCTGATTTGCATGTATTCATCTTAGTGTAGGCTGCGGATCTGTTCAGTTTTATATCTGTACGAGGAACACTCAAACGCATCGTGGATAAGAACCATCAGTGTGTAAGACGCCAGGAAAGTTTACATGGATGGTTGTCTCCAAGAATAGCACTATAAAGAAAGTGAGCCTGGTACATATCGAGAGTAACGTCGCGACTTATTTCGACGAAGGCTTGAGCTCATCTATATCCGCGCTGTTCAATGCGCTGCCCTAGCAACACTGTGGTACCCGGGTAGTATTTCGTGATACCGTGAGTTTGCTTAAGGTGTTACCGCACAAACCAGATCTCATCATGAGCGTTTCTCAAATCCACCTTGCCTCCGGAATTTTCAAGCATCTCCTCGATGATGACACTCAGTTGGCTATCGGCGGCTTGCAGTGCCAAGCATATGCGACCATCCAATGGAGTCCTGCCGTAGCTGTACTTAAGCAGTGCTTCATATATCTGCCTCGCGAGAACGAAGGCTGCGTCGAATCTCCATCTCAAGTCACCATCGCTCTCCTTGATCTTGATGAAGTTGATGTCGTGTACGAGTATGTTGATCGTGCGGCTGAGAGTATCTGGCCTTTGATTGAAGGCATCCCGTACGTATTGCTCGTAGGCTTCCACTTGCGCTTCCGCTGCAAAGGGGTCGACCTCGCGTAGTTGGGTGTAACGTAGATCTGATTGTTCTCGTCAGTACTATTGAGCAACGTTTAAGAAATCGGTAAGCGAGTTACTTTTGTGCAGTCCTTGCATTTTAAGTGCGTCATAAGGATCCAATGTGTTGCCCTGTGCAAATCTGCGCCAGCGTTCATGCTTATCGTTTGCTTCCCTCAAGTTTTCGCTCAGCAGGCTAATCTCCTGCTGCGCACGCCGTAGCTGTTCCTGCGTGTCTTGTAGTTTTCGACGCGTCTCACGCAATTCTTCTTGTACCGTGATGCTACTAGCATGATATTCGTCTTTCGGGCATTCTTTACGAAAATGTCCAAAGCCGCTGCATCCGTAGCACTGTATGTTGGCCTTATCAGGACAGTCGTCCATGATATGACCCTTCTCTCGACAATGGAAGCAAGTCGCTAATGGACAATCTTTAACCCAATGCCCCTGGGAATTGCATTTGAGGCATCCATCGCTACCGGGAATAACTTCGTCGGCGTAGTCGTTCAAGCCTGGGGTTGAAGAACGTGAGCGTGGTGGGGAGCTCATAATGTTGTCGTGTGCCGCGTGAGAAAGTTCGCGGGCTCCGTAAACCTCTGAAGCAAGAGTGCTCGCAAAATAAGAACTGGGTACCAAGTGTGCCATGCTTGCTCATGGACGAATATCTTTGCAGAGGACGCGCTGTGTCCGAAGGGTAAGCACGAGGGACGACATGCCAACCACATCACGGGCGCGTCGCGTCGCGTTTCAGAAAATGATCTGTCGACTAGGCTTGAGATAGGCTAGCTGGCATGGAATGAACGCGCATGGAAGTATAAATGCACCCGGCTTACACCGAGACCGAAGATCAGACGAACTCTTCGAAGCTTCAGCTGGTGCAGACACTGCCCGGGTGGTATACAGCCGTTGTGACCGCATCTGGCATGCTGCAAGACGTGCACCGAACGCGAACACTCATCGTATCATGCAGTGCGCGTCGTTACCCAGAAGCATACATGGGTATTGAGGATCGCGAAAATGAAATGTGGGGCCGATGTGGACGTCGCGGTGGTGGATAGTTCGCGCTAAATTATAGGTGCGCACGGAAAACTCTACGAACACCTCCAGGACTTCATACCGACTGTGTAAGAAGATCCTGAATAGCGAAGGAATGATAGAGTAAAGTAATGTACGAGGGTGTTCAGAGTGTTTGCTGCAGGCGGCCCGTGGGTGGTTTCCACAAGTGAACTAGCCTATCAGATGATCGCGCTAAGGCATCTCGCGCGGACGTTGGAACTTCGCTCCTCCCCGATGCTGAACCTACACCCTCGTTTGCAAAATGCTATCGTGCGAACATATGCCGCTACCGAGCCCAACACACAATCGCCGCAGCAATTGTCTCTGGCATCTCCCCGTCGTTCGTGGGTAATCGTTTACCCCGCGGTCAGACGCGTCGCGAGATGCGCCCGCCTGGCACTCCCTTCTAGCTCTCCAGCCGCAGACTCACTAGATTCTACGTGGTCTTTGGAATGTTCGCATCCACGCATTATGCTCTATGTTATCGCAATAGCTTACATGCCCTTACTTTGGAACACGAGGTCTGGATGCACATGAAGAGTAAACCGGACCTAGACAACTGCTATACGCTATATGCACGCCTCTACTGGGAACGTATGCTTCTGAACCTGACTGTCTGGCCGAGGACATCAAGTCCATATACCCTGATCGCCAGAATCTGTTGCGGTAGACTTTGAACATACGCATCTGAAATATTGGTCTCCCAAACTTACCCCCGTCCAGTCTGCAGTCAATTACCTCAATGCACAATACCTGCTTATTCCACCGCTTCCTTTGCCTCCGATAAGGCACAGAATTTCCTGTCCGTCTATCGTTGGACTCTCACCTTGGAGTATAATCAGCAACCGTCCAGACTTACCATCAACGCAATCGGGTTTTTGCCCCCCTCACCTTCGCTGGCCGGCGGTTTAGCGTCACTGCCCTACTATTTAATCTGCTGCTCTGCTGGTAACCGTCACTCCTACACCATCCTTCCTATTCTTTTCTTCTCCAGTCTATCATCAATCCACTTGCTTTGCCTTAAGTCCCCTTCTCTTCTACACCTTGCCCAGAGCACAAGGTCTAGTATCAGTTACGAAGAATGTCAATGGAATCTCTCCTCAATTTTGGAGAATTCCAAGCTCAACCCCAACGCTTCAAGACAATCACAAAGTACGATGCGGGTGCTGAGCCGAAAACTCCACATGCTTGGTGGGATCTAGACAAAGACGCCATCCACGCAATCCTCAAGGACATATCAGAAAGAGTTGCTTCGTGTACCAAGGGCAAGACGGGACTCGACAGAGAACTTGAGCACGTCGCAAAAACCGCAGCAATGCTAGAGCAGGTCGAACGAGGGCCTGCCATCAAGGTCGCTCTCATTGGAGCCCAAGGAGCCGGCAAGAGCCTTCTGATCAACGCTTTATTCGATTGTACCGGCTTGTCACTGACAGGTGCGAGAGGATTTGCTTGTACCAGCGCTATCGTCAAATATGCATACGGTCCGGGCGACAAGTTCTCTGCCGAGGTCAAGTTTCTCAATGCGGAGAAGCGTGAAGCCATGGTAGATGAACATATCCGCTCTTATATGGACTATCATAACGACCTGGACGACTCAGAAGACGAAGATGGCCCCCGGACCCGATCATTCAAACAAGATGAACTCGACCGAAAACGCAAGAAGACGGCAGAAGACTTCTTCGATACCATCTTTGGATCCAGGGAAGAATTTCTCAATGCTTGGAGTTCAAGTCCCGTCAACACTCCGGAATTCAAGAGTTTGTGCCAGCTGAAATGCAAAGAGGCTATGCTGGATCAAGATATGGATTCCAAGGGAGTTTCGATCTTCAGCAAGAACACCCCGAAGGAACTCCTGGACGTCATCAAGCCGTTTCTTTCCAATGTCGAGGGCCAGGTTTGTCTTTGGCCTATTGTTGATTGCGTCACCATCCGATTCAATCACCCTCTCCTTCAACAGGGTTTAGAGTTTATCGATCTGCCAGGTTAGTATTGAGACAATTTTGTTTATCATAGCTAACACATTCTAGGGTCTGGTGATACGAACATGTCACGAGCTCGACACGCCGATGAGATCAAAGACAGCGTCGATGTTGAGATCATTCTGGGTGATACAGTGCGCATCGGTACGGACGAAATGGTCATAAGTAACGCTAGAGCTGGCGTGCTTAATCATGGTGCATCGAATGTGAAGGTTGTGGCCACCAAGATTGACGTAAGTACTTTCAACTATGTTTGGGGTCATACTAACTTCTTTGAAAAGGCACTCTCTGAAGACCAACTCGCTCAGTGTTCGGGTTTCGTATACGACGAAATCAATACCCGTATGCAGCAAGCTGATGAAGACGGTACCAACGCCGAAGAGGAAGATGACGATACCAAAGTACTCCAGATCAACCGCTTCAAGCTGTATCTCCAGCGTTACAAGAAGGCGTACATGATAAAAGAGCGTGCAGAGTCCATCTCCAGAATCCTCGGCTCAACACTCCAAGAGGTATCGTACAATGAGACGGTGGAAATCTTCCATACGTCCACAGCGAACTACATGAGCTGGATCAAGACCGGAAAAATCTCATACGAGCATCAACCAGCGCTCTCTGCCGAGAATACCGGAGTACCGGGACTCCGCAGGTTCATGTACAATCTACCGGCTCCTCGGAACCTGCGCGACTATACGTACCACATCAACACTGTCGTTCCCGCCTTCATCGAAAAATCGAAACGCGTCGTCACTCAGTCGGATCGGGATGCCGGGTTCAAGACAATCGCTGATGAATTCGACGAGCTGCGCGGCAGGTTCTTAGGCGCCTTGGCCAAAGCGTTGCACAAGCATTGTCGCGAATACTCAACGGTTAGCGTGGCGAGAATCGAGAAGGACAGCAACGCTTACAAGGAAGGTCTGAGGAAACGTATTCAGAAGAATTGGCTGGAGCTGAAAGCTTCTGCATTCAACCGGATCATAAAGAGCAGAGGCCACGTTCCCCAAGGAACATCGAGAGCCAAGGGCCTGGAGAACACAGTCAACTGGAACATGGAGCTTGCTACCTTACTGAAGCCCGGTTTTCAGAGGTGGTATGCACTTCATGCGGGACATCTGAGGCAACTGAGGGCTGCACTACCACTAAACATGGACAAACTGTTCCACCAGGCGATAGCCCTGATGAACAGCTCAGCCGCAAACCTTATCACAGTCGAGAAAGCCAAACTCAAATTCAATCCGATGCAACACCGGATGAAGAGTAAAGTCCTCGCTATGGTAGACGAAATGATCGCCGAGGAGAAGCGTCTACTGCATCGGGCCACTCTGGAAGATGAACGGGAAAACAACCTGATCTCGACAATCACCGATGAAATTTACGATGACATTTTCGCCGCAACTCCCGAACTCAAATCGATCGTCAAAGGAAAGAAACGCTACCATATGGGGGTGTTGAAGTTCAAGAAGATACAGCTTGAGAATCGCTTCCTTGCAGCTGAGAACCATTTCGTCGACAGGGCCATCGAACTATTCCGGAAACAACTCAACGAGAAGATGGGCCGTTTGATCGACAAACACATCGAGCTCTTGAACGCCATGTTCGATAACTATAGCAAAAACCTTCGCGATCATGCCCCAGTCGACTACACGATCAACCCTTTGGGCGAGCAAGTCCGAGAGCAGCTGGAGAAGCACCTCCCGTACATTGAGAGCCAGGCTGAGGCTTTGCTCAGTCATATCCCCGTTGGATTCAAAAATGAAGACGAAGCCGCCGCCAGTGTAGAGTACCTCGATGACTCTGGTGATAGTATCCAGGACCTCGGATACTTCATCGAGCAGGTATCCAAGCCTAAGCGCAAAGCTACTGATAGCTCAAAGGCTATGGTGAAGAGGATCAAGAATGAGCACGACTGATCTTCGAGTGCATCATACCGATCTGGCGTCTACCTCTAGGACCAACTTCGAATCAGCCTCTGCGCCACCCAGGTTCCTAAGAGTTCGGCAATGTGTCTACGCGAAAACAGAACGGTCGTGGACACATTCCGTTCATTTTCTACTTCATATTCTCTGTTAGACAAAAGTCGGAGCTATCTCGCGCAGCAGCCTTTCGCCTTGGGACGACGCCGCAAACGCCGTGCAGGCGTATGCACAACATTGGCTAAGGCGTGCAATCTTTGCTTTCCTCCCAGCGTTTACGATGTCTTTTTTCAGCGACAGCAGCAATTAGTTGAGCGGTTTCTTTCCTTCTATTCAGCAGGCGACTTTGAGCCCACTCTCTGGGTTCGGTCTATCCTGCGCAAAAGTTTCTCACCATCGAGCCATCTTTCTTACGTACTCAGTCATAGCAACATGAATCACATTCAACATACCAGCATACCTTTGCCTCCAGTTCACAGTTCATGGTATACATGATCAACCCGGTCGGCCACTCGATATCTCTAACTCGGTGCCTCTGACACGCTGCAATCATTCACGGTCTTCCAATGTGCACTGGGATATTCGTCTGTTAGGAGGAATTGAGAGGGATATAATAATAGTCGCTAACAAAAATATGTATGTATCCAGCACGCAAGCCAAGAAAGGAGAGTCAAAACCATACAGTACACCAACAGCAATCCACATCTCCTACTCCAAACTCAGAGAACACCAGTATCGTATATCCACCACCAATCTCCAACAACCACCATGACCCCACACACAGATCACGACAAACTTCTGTCCATCATCATAATATAACCCCATCTACGCGCCATCCCCCCACAGCCCAACAACCTGCATCGCAAACGCCACACCCGCCAACCCCGTCTTAACCCACTCAACCACCTGCTTCCGCTCCACCGCCAAGCGCACCTGCTCGCCATTCACCTCATCGCCCTGCGCCTCCAACTCCATAACCTGCCTCTTCTCATTCCCGCCCTCAGTCAGACCAACCGCATAGTCGACACCGGGTCCAGACACAAACGCAAAGATAGATGTGTAAAGCAGGTACGGGTGGCGGAAGCGGGCGGGCGAGAGACAGTATGCGGAGAAGAGGGTGAAGGTAGTTATGTGTCTGAGGTAGGAGGATAGGTTTGTGGATTTGTTGGAGAGGTAGATGAGGGAGGTGCGGGCGTTTATGGCGGTGGGGAGGGCGAGGAGGGAGGGGAGGGCGATGGTCGAGACGGTTGCTGAGACGCCCTATGGAGGTGTTAGTTATCTGAACTGTGTCTTCTGGGGTTTGTGCTGGGGGGTTTGGTATAGGGAGGAGTGGGTTGGAGCTCTGATAGCTTTCAAGCGGGGAGCTTGGAGAAGGGAAGTGGCGGGTGGTGGTGACTTACAGTTGCGATTCCTAGGGTGATTGTTCCGACGAATTTACATATTGAGACTGTTTGGGCGGCCATTGTGATGGTACCGTGAGGTTTTTGGGGATTGCCTTGCTCTGTCTATCGCGCGGGTTCTTTGTCGTGGAGTTATCTGTTGGCAATGCAGGTTGACGTGCATGCAGCGCTTGGAAGATTGCGGAGATGCTGCGGGCATCATCCGGAGCAGGCTGTCATCTTTCGGAGAAATCGGGATGGCCCAAGCTTCCATGCCATAATGCGGAGAAGAGCACATGTCAATCAGTAATCAGGCGGCTACGCCCTATGAAAAGAAAGATGTTGATCCATTATCAGGTCGCTCTTTACCGTACATACTCTGCACGGTCTTCCAAACCTATAAAATGCATTCGATGCGCGCACTGTATCGCCCAGGGCGAATCGCAAGCATCAAGAGAGTAATCTTGCCAGTCGTACCTCGGCTTACAACACCAACGCGTATCCTGCACGCATCAGCCGGGGCTTGCGGCCGTAACTTTCACACGACGTGAGCAACCTCAGTTACTTATACTCCACTCAATATTTGTGCATCCGCTCGAACGATAACTCCCAACGTCATCACCTGCTCACTCACCACCGCCAGTCCTGCGCGCTTCCAGTTCGACGACCCCGATAGCACAGAACCTGCCTGGAAAACACCGCGCACCATGCCTATGGAGAAGTACCAGTTTATGAGCAATGTCTGGAGGGATGGCATCTTTGGTATGTCTCACTTCCTATAGTAGGCGTGGATAGGCAGAGATGGCCCATGACCACTGCTCAAACAGCTTCACCTCCAGGTCAAAAGCTAACAACCCTCAGACAACAAAGTCGTCTTCTGCACCGGCGGCGCCGGCACAATCTGCTCCGCCCAAGTCCGCGCCATGGTCGCCCTGGGCGCAAACGCCTGCATAATCGGGCGCAACGTAGAAAAGACCGAAAACATGGCCAAAGACATCGCAACCGCGCGCCCCGGCGCCCGCGTCCTCGGCATCGGCGCCATCGACGTGCGCAAACCCGAACTCTTGCAAGAAGCCGCCGACCGGTGCGCCCGCGAACTCGGCAGCCTTGACTTCGTCATCGCAGGCGCAGCCGGCAATTTCCTCGCGACCATCGACCAGATCAGTCCGAATGCGATGAAGAGCGTTATCGACATCGATGTGCTGGGGAGTTATAACACGGTCAAGGCGACGCTGCCTTATCTCAAGGAATCAGCGGAGAAGCATAGAACGGATGGGACTACACAACCGGCTAATGGCACGGGTGGGCGTATCATCTTTGTGAGCGCTACGCTGCACTACACAGGCACACCCCTCCAGTCCCACGTCTCCGTCGCGAAAGCAGGTGTAGACGCCATGGCCATGTCTGTCGCTATTGAGCAAGGCCCCCGTGGTATCACATCCAACATCATTGCCCCAGGGCCGATTGCTGAGACTGAGGGTATGGCGAGGTTGTCCAAGTCGGATGCTAAGAGTAAGGTTGCTAAGAGCGTGCCGTCTGGTCGCTTTGGATCTGTCAAGGAGATTGCGGATGCGACTATCTATCTGTTTTCGGATGCGGGTAACTTTGTTAACGGCGAGACGCTTGTTGTGGATGGTGGCGCGTGGCATACTGCGGGGTTTTCGGGTGGGTTTGAGTATCCGGATTTCTTGCTTAGTGGCGAGAGTGTTACGGGGGTTAAGGGCGGGAAGAAGAGTAAGTTGTAGGGCGGAGATGGAGAGACTGGTAGATGTGGAATTTCATGACCGGTTTTGCTTGCTACATGGGTGCTTGATCTTTTGGGTGGTGTTCTCTAACAATACCGTGGAGGTATTCAATAGATCTTGTGGTTATATCCGCCTTCGTCTCACGTTGATGTATTCATCAAAACGTCTTGTCGTAGCGCATACAACCCTTTCAGGACGAGCGTCTTCGTCAAATACAGTAGTAAGATTGACACTTCTCACATGAAATTGCATCTGAAGCGTAAGTGACCCGGCCGTGTAAGGTTGTATTGCTTTCTCTTGGTTCTCCTCACTCGTGCATAACTGCTCAGGTCCACAATGCCAATATTCATACCGCAGATAACTAGGCAAAGCGATCCTGGACGTATCTGTTGCGCCTGTCATTCCGCGAAGCCATCTGCACAAGTGTCATGCACATGGAAGCTTTCGGATCAGCAACAGAAGCTTGGATGAGAGCCCGGCTCAACAGTGGCGTATCTGATGATGAGGATGTCCTTGGTCTCCGCGGGCTCGTAGACTGACGCAATAGAAGGGTATGTGTGCGTCTGAGTATAATGTATGATGCAATATATGCATGATAGAAGATGATGCATACGTCTGTTCCGAGGAGTGCTGAGTATGATTTAGAGAGGACGACACAATGTATATATCCAAGTTGCATGTAAGATATCGCGTACTTAGGCAAGCCTCTCTGTCAGCGTCTGATACCAAATAGTTGCATTCCTGCATGGAGCTTCATCCTTTTCAGTATTTTCTTGAAAACAAACATGTATACCACGCCTGGTCACAGTCCTTGTGATGCTGGACCAGGCTGACACTGAGGTGTGCAGGCACGCTCGGGCAGCACTAAGTATCCCAGCTGTTGTATAGCGCGCGGCCCACTCCATACCTCGGAGCACTATAGCACCGGGAATCGAAATCGAATCTCAACGACTTTATGACCAGGTTCGATAGCTCAAAACGGAATGAACCTTGTATCAAGGCTGTAGTGGCTGAGCAAAAGCAAAAAGTATCATCGAGAGAGATCATCAAGTATCAGTGCTGCAATCTTACCAAACGTTGAGAGACTTGTCCAAGGACCTACCTCCGCCTCGAACCTTGGGCGTAAAGGCGGACGGACGAATATAGCAATCAATCTCTCAGTAAGCATCGCGCCCCAACATCCAAGCATCAGATCGTCGACTAGGAGTCTTTTGAGTGTGAGATCATCGACCCTGAGCGGGAACCCATCTCGTCGTCAGCACATCAACGAAAATCTCACACCTCCCCACGGATCAACATGCCAGCACATCGATCCTACCCAGCGATGCCAGCCGCACATCAAGGCATCCACGAATAAAACCCACTCGTTACCAACTCTGTTCCCGCGGAATGACGAAATGGGTTGCAGCACCAGGTTTGGAGCGAGTGAACATCTTCATCTGCGCCCCTTGACGAGCCGCACATGCCAGGCCTGCGCTCCAGTTTTAATACAAAATGCGCAGCAACGGCTTACCCTGCTCCCCTGTCGATCGCACTATCGATACCCAGGGGTGCTGCTTCTGGACTGGGCTGGTGGTGGCTGGCCATGCATGCGTCATAGCCCTTTTTCAGGAGACAGACGCGAGCGCGCGGTGCCCGGTTAGCGAAATTGAGCGTTTAGGTTTGGCGTGTTTTGGGACTGGCGTGGGCTAAGACGCGTGGTCAAGCGGTGGCTTGCGGGTGCTTGGCCGGCATCTTCGCTGCGGTGGGTAGGGCCGTCGTTGTGTTTGGCTAAAGGTCGGCGCGCGTGTTTGTGTGGTTACTGTGGTGTTGGGCAATTCTCGGAGGGTTTAGGCTGAAGTGGAGGGTTCGTAAAAGAGATGAGGAGAGATAGGGTGAGTGAGCTTCCGAGGGGGAAGCGACTTCATGTTGATTGAAGATGCAGGCGTGCAGACTGGTTGTCGGGTCGTAGAGGTGCCGTTGACTGACACGTTTCGATTCGCGGGCGCGTCGCCGTGCTCTTCGCGCGCCGCTTGAGTGGTGAGGGAGCGATGAGGCTTAACGCCGTTGCTAGACGACGGCGTGAGGGCGCCGGCGCTTTTTGTCATGCGCGCCCAAGCGCCCTGCGCATTTTATGGGATGGCAAGCCTCAACTTGGTTTTGGAAGGTCGCACAGGTAGAGGCATGAATTCTGCAGGTTGTACACAGGGTGCGGGTGGGAGGTACACGGAGGGGATGACCTTTCTTGTACCCTGGACTATAGCAGAGAGGCCAGTAAGCAGGGCTGCAGGTACAACAGGTACATAGCGCGGACACCTGCTTATGTTGTTTGCTGCAGGCTGCAGGTAGCGATGATGTCGCTGCAGGTTGGGTTGGGTGTAAGCGACAGGGAGGCGTGCGATACGACGCCACCGAGGAGTTTAGTCTGCCCCGTGCCAGAGGATCAGCATGCATCAAAAGACAAAACATGCAGCAAGTCCCGCGCTGTGCACCCAACCATTACATTCTCTCCCTTTCTCTTCATACACTCGTTATCGAAAGTGCGCTTATACATTCGTTTGAGTGGTGTTTGGTACAGATCAGAAGTAGCTCGACTGCCCAGGACGGTCGCTTTATCGATTATCGCGAGACATATCAGTTCCGGGAAAGGGTCCGCGTTAGTAACACTGGACACGGGAGCACCAAGACGGCTTTGCGAATCACCGGCGGCTTGTGTGTCGTGTCTGCTGCGTTATCGCGATCGAAAGAGTCGTGATCTGCGAGGTGTCCGAGGTTGAGCACGTCATGCCCACGAGATAGGCCGAGGAGCTTCACGTTTGACCACAGGATTTTCTGCTTCAGTTTCAGCACCCTCAGCCATCCCACGACGCCGGCGGAGCACCCAGGGCGCCAACCAAAAACCCAGAGTTGGCAGTGCAGGGAGTACCGCGGTTCGAGTCAGACCTAGTGCCAGTGCGGAAGAGGCGGAAGAGGCTACTCTTGAACTAACGGCCAAAGCGGGAGAGATCAGTTAGCCAGAAAGTGCTCCATTCACCAGCACAGACCTCACTTAGCGCTGGTAAGTCCTGCAGCTCCACCAGCTCCCATCCTCAACAGCCGCATCGCCAGCAACCTCTTCCTTCTCCACACCCAGCTGTGCTACCGGCGACACCCGTCCGACAATCCATCACGGGCAGCGATGCTGACGATAGTGTGAAGCATACCAGCAACATCTCGCGCCCACCCCCAGTAGCCGATCCCACCGAGCCGGCGCTTTTCTGCCAGCGACAGGCCCGTACCACCTCACACCACTTCCATCCATCGACCCCACTTGGAATCCTCTCGAGGCCCTTCCAACTTCCATCACCAGCTTCATCGCTC